ATAACAATGAATAGAAGGTTTGTGTACTTCTTAAGTAAATATCAATACTACCATTGTTACATGTCTTTGAATCAGAACTGACTAATGGTTGATCCTCCAGTCAGTAAGTTTTCAGACGCTGTAAACTGTACCGGAGGAAACTGCCCATCTATCTCCTGAAAAGAGCTGGTGGATTCAAACTTCACGCCTTTGGACTGGGAACACAACTACTTACCACCTTCCTATAAATTTACTTAACTTATATTTATATTTTTTTTAATTCCAATTTAAATTTTTTCTATTTAGTTTGCATTAATAATTTAAACTGTAATGAATGCATAAATTTTCTGTGTTTTACTGTATCATTTTCCACCTAAATCATTTAATTATATATATTTATTATTGTGATGTCCCACTGAGTCAGAACTAAACCCTAGCTGATGCTCTAGAGGGATTTCAGGAGCAGAAAATTGCATGGAAGAAGATAGTCCATCTCTCTCAAGGAGCAGTTGTTGTTGTTTAAAGTCAGGTTAGAACCAATGCATAGCTGACCCTCCTGTGGGTACCCAGAGGCAGTTAATTGCATGGGAGGATATTGCCCATCCTTCTCCTGTGGAGCAGCTGGTGGCCTCGAACCAAGTGCCTTCAGGATTGCAGTGGAACTTCTTGCCACTAGGCCACCAGAGCTCCCTCAAGGAGGAGTTACCAGATTAAAATGCGTCTATTTTTTTTTTCTTTCCTTTTCTCTCTCTCTCTTCAAACAAATACACACATGACCTGGTATTTATAATGTACATATATGATGGTACTTGGATAGCATTCACCTGAACTGCATTAGGAAAGAATGGAAAGGTAAATAACTTATGGATTAAAAATATATATGCATCTATATTTATATATTTCTGTATATAGCAATCTGTATATATAAGTGGATAATTTATCACTAAATATGTTCTGCTTCACCACATTACAAGTCCAAACTTCCATTAAAAATTAGTATACACAATATTACCACTAACTGAAAAACAACGTTTTAAGAATTAAAACATCAAGTCCTCAATGTATCAATCTTTTTTTTAGTTCGTGTTAAACAAGACATCAGAGATAATTAAATTATTTTAAGGAAATTTAGTAGCCTAATTCTAGGTTTAAATTATGTCTATTTTATCAGAAATGCAAAATAACTTGACCAAATGGTATTTAAAATTACTCATTACCTTCAAAGATTTTTTTTTCTAATTTTATTTAATTTTGTCCATATCAGTAACTACCTATTTCTTGTTCTACTGGGAAAAGTCACTATTTGTCAATTCAAAAATGGCAATGTTTAAACTTTCTGTCACAGTCAACACTCTTGGCACCAGCAGCCAGGAAATCAAAAAACGTATTGCGATGGGAAAGTCTGCTGTTAGGGACCTCTCTAAAGTACTCAAGAGCAGCGATGCCTCTTTGGAGACGAAGGTGCGCCTGATACAGGCCATGGTCTTTGCAATCACATGTCATGCATCAGAGAGCTGGACAATGACT